TATCTGTATTTCCGTTTGTGTGACACTGATTGTTGAGAAAACACGCACTTCAAAAATTGATTCTTGAAGGGATTATAGATTGAAATTTCGAGTAGAAATTTCGTGTTGATACACGTTTCGTGTTAAAACCTGGTTTCTATATGGTCGTAAAAATTAGAGTCACGATCTTTCTCAACGTACGGCCAGTTTATAATACTTTATAACCTGTGAGCCCCATATAAATCATAAGTATTCTCTAGTTATAATCACTCCCGCGCATTTTCAGTTCTAAAATGTTGTATTTCGGCTAATGAGAAAGATTGTGACTCAATCTTAACGACCGTTACGACCATATGGAAACCAGGTTTAACGAACTTTGGTTGCAGTACTGTAACATGTTGGACTTTTCCAAATCAATCACTAAAAAATGTTTACAGTATATACTTATTTAACGAAATTAATACTCTTCGAGATTCTCTACACAATGAAAATTGTATTTGCTTTGTTGCTTGAAATAATCGACACGTTTTGCAGGTTCAAATACGTGTATGCGAATTAAGCAACATTTATCTTCTTTTAACGCTTTAAATTAATACTGGCCTTTTCAAGATGATTATAATTATGTAGTGCGTGCACCCACCATTTTGGAAATATTAATTGGCAGGCGATTCTGTACATCAATACATCTCCCCTAATTTCGTGAATTCGTATCATGTGCACTTTAAAAAGATTCGTTTTATCTCACCGTTTCACCTTGTTTTTCAACGAAAAGTTTTTGTTTGGCTTTCTCTATGGGATCTTTCGGTTGCAGTTGGTTCTCAGGATAAAGTTCGTCCAGTAGATCTACGAAGAAAAATATAGTTTCAATCATGATTTACATTGAAAGAATCATGTCCAAAAGTACTTTGTTCCACTGCATTGGATTCCTAACTTAATCTCAATTCTTACTCATTAATTGATCTGAACTACCAAAAGATGTTTAACCAAGAGAGCTTCACTTTTCGTCAAGTTTTGGTAAAAGTATATATATATTTATAATATAGTCATCCACCGTATATGAGCTGTTCTGCAATCTGATTGGTTGAATTACTCGCCGTATATCAGCTCATATACGGCGAGTAGCAAAAAACAAGATGGCGGTCCAAAAACTACATGAGCTTTGCGAAGCAGAAAAAGGAAAATATTCGCTTTAAAAAACATAATAGTACAAGGAAAAACTCTCAAAAAAAATTTGACAGGTTAGCAAAATACATTTATTACGTAGAAATTAGTTTAAATACAAGTTTTTTAAAGAATTAATACCGAAACAACAGCGAAAAAACATGTTCATTGAGAATATAAATTTTTCAGAAAAGTTTGCAATGAACGACAAATGAATTTGCAGTCAACAAGCACTTACTATAGTACCAAACATCTGTATAATATATCTGAGCTTTCCTGTGAGATATAGAGCTTCTAAAACCATTTCTTTCACTTCGTCTTCGAGTTGTAAAACAAAAGTATTTCAAATTTTCAAGCGGTTTTTGGCCGAAAAAATTGTCAACACATTGTAACAGTGAATAATTAATTACTGCTTCAGTTAATGGCTATATTAGACTATATTATAAAACAATTATACCATTCGCTCTCGTCGTATATGGCTGATAGCCGACTCGGTGCTACGCATCTCGTCGGCTATCAGCTCATGGTATAATTGTTAAATCTCAAGCTCATGGTATAATTGTTAAATATATATATATATATATATATATATATATATATATATATATATATATATATATATATATATATATATATATATATATATATATATATATATATATATATATATATATATATATATATATATATAGATTGTCTATATCTTAAAATTAAATATCGCTACTCTGAGCCGGTTTCACGTCCTTTCTAGACGATCATCAGGCGATTTTGTTCACGATTTTGTTACTGATTACGTGATTGCGTAATCAGTAACAAAATCGTGAACAAAATCGCCTGATGATCGTCTAGAAAGGACGTGAAACTCAGAGTAGCGATATTTAATTTTAAGATATAAACAATCTAATAAGCTTTATATATATATATATATATATATATATATATATATATATATATATATATATATATATATATATATATATATATATATATATATATATATATAGATATATAAAAACTAGTAATTGTACTCCCCACATACTTTTTCCCACATTTTCTACAATAAATCAAATAAATCACCCCAGCCGAATCGCAATCAAAGTTGTAATTAATGTAGTATTTTACTTTTCCCTCGAGAAATTCTTTTCCCTCATCTACATAATTACAAATCTGGCAACGATTCTTATTACACTTACTCATCCCTACACTTACCTCCCTAGCCTTTTTAACCTTAGATCTAACCAAACTATCTTTTAAATTTTTTGGTCTCTTATATGAAACAATCGGCCTACTACCGAAGACATCCCTCATCCTCTCCGATGTCCCCAGAATCGACCAAAGTGCTTCCGCAATTCCATTAATTTCCTTTAATGCCAGATGAAATTCTACTACCAGTGGTACTCTATTACCCAAGTTAGAATTCTTCCTCTTATCCGTTTGGCGTAACACTTCAGCCCTATCCTTAACTTTAACCTCAGAAAACTGGTCCTTAACCAACTTTTTGTTAAATCCTCGCTTTATAAAATGACCTCCCATTTCTTTAAGCCTATCCTGAAAAACTCTTTCCGAACTACAAATCCGTTTTAATCTTAGCGCCTGACCATAGGGGATCCTTCTTCACATGTGCAGGATGACAAGACTTGAAGTCTAAGTATTGATGTGTATCAGTCGGTTTTGAATACACATCCGTTTGCAATTTACCAGACTCCAACTCCACCCGCACATCCAAATTAGACACCCCCCTTTCCGAATATTCCATGTATATTTAATTGTTTCATGATAATTGTTAATATAATTTAAAAGGGATTCTTTACCATGAAGCCAAATAAAAAATATGTCATCCAAAAATCTGAACCATACTGAAGGACTCAAGTGATACCCCGCCAACATTTTATTTTCCAGTTCTGCCATAAAAATATTTGCAAACGCTGGAGCAAATTTTGTGCCAATGGCTGTCCCTAACTTTTGTTTATACACTTTTTCACTGAATTTAAAATAATTGTTATCTAATATAATTTTGGCTAAATCAATCAAATCATCTACAGAAAGTCCCTCCCCTTTATCCATACCACAATTTTTTCTGAAATCCTCAATACTTTTTCTAATACTAGACAGACCTTCCAAATGAGGAATATGCGGGTACAGTCCCACAACATCCATTGTGCACAAGATCGCTCCCTCTGGAATATCACCCAAATCCTGCAGCCTTTTCAAAAAATCTGTGGTATCCCTTATAACATTGGGCAGACTCTTAACAATAGGTTGTAAATAATGATCCACTAATTCCGACAAACCCTCCGTCGGTGTCCCACAGTTAGAAATAACTGGACGACCTGGGACATCAACTAGCCGTTTGTGAATTTTTGGAAGTAAATAGAATCTGCCCAATTTATTATTCCTTCTTCGATACATTTTCGTAAACTAAAACATCAGCCAATTGTCTATTAGCTTCCTTACAATAATCCTCTAATCCCCAAACCACTACCGCAGACCCCTTATCAGCCCCTTTTATTACTATATCCCTATACCCTTTAAATTCTTAAAAGCTTCTCGCTCTCCCACTCAAATTACTAAAATTATGATCATTCAAAAATGTTTCTAATGCTGGGTCCACTTTACTCGGGTACCATGTAGACTTTTCTCTAAACTTACTTAATCCCTCTACATCAATTTCACTTAAGGGTTTATCTTTAAAGTATGCTTTACATTTCATTTTCCTCGAGAATTTAGCTAAATCTTGCGCTAGTTTATGTTTATCAATCTCTTTTGCTGTGGGACAAAAATTAAGTCCTTTTGACAGCACTTTAACTTCCGCATCGATAGATTTCTAGTTCACAAATTAACTACATTTTCACAAACAAATACTTGATTCACATCTGATCTCACCCTGCTTCGTTCCGCTTCATTACAGTCCAGCAATTCGTCCTTGATCGCTAATTCTAGCATCTGATTTTGCAAAGTTATTATATGAGCTCTGATGTATCATTGTATATATATATAGTTTACCATACAGTATATATAGAGTCTCTCAGGTTAAGTCTCTCAGGTTAGGTCTCAAACACTTTCACTGTAGTGGGGCGGATAAGTGAAAGTATTGTGCATTTTGTGCAGAAAGCACCATATTGACAGCATGTGCAGACTTTCACACAAGTATGAATATAAGATATGGAGGCATTTGTGAAATTAATGCTAATAACAAAAAATTTGGAATTCCTGACATTTTATTATAAATTTCTATTACTGCTCGAAATCAAATTTCTATTACTGCTCGAAATACTGTAAGATTCTCGAAACCCAGACAGATAGTTTGACAATAACTCGTTAAAAAATAATAATAATAAACGTAATAACTCCTTAGTTGTCAAATAAGAATAAAATTGATCATAAACGCCGAAATAATTGAGATTGGACGATAATTACTTAAATCACTTTTTTCGCCACTTTTAAATAAAGGTAAGACCTTTACCATTTTCCAGTCAGTCGGATTAAAGAGGGTGAAAGCATATCAGCAGCTGTTTTTAAAATCTACCTGGTATATTATCAGGGCATGTAGCTTTGTTAGCATTAATCGTTTTTACCAATTTGCTTAAAACAAAAAAGGTATTTATGGATTGAATATAAGAAATTGGATCTTTACATTAGAATTAGTTATTTTGTCCCCAAGATTCTCAGCTATCGAGGTGAAATATTTACGAGTTAAAAGCGTCTGAAATGTCAGCAGGATTAGTTACTTTATTACCGTTAAGATTGACTTTTTTGACATGTGAGGTAATCCACGGAGACTTCGTTGTATACGCGAGTGTTTCTTTTTTAGTGGCGCATGCATGTCCGATCAATGACAAACGTTAACAAATTAATCCAATCTGTCCACATATCATTAGAATCATTATGCATGCAGAATTAAATCGTTCAAATATGCACGCTCATTGAAATTTTTGAAATCTCCCTTTTCGATAAAAGCATTTCCCGATGCCTTATGATAAATTGATTTCCGAAAACAAGAGAGTGATCACTTAGGTTAGGTGGAAAACGCGGACACGAAATTTACTAAAGTTAAAAATAATTGTTGAATTTGGTTTTCATGTGATATCGAAAATTATCAAGGCCGAGGTTGTGTTATAAAACTCTTAATGCTGTGTTAGAGTTTGTAGCTCGTTTAGTGTATTCCGCTTTTTTCAGTTACCGAGGCAAATCTCGCTATGGCTTTATATTTTATGCATGTAAAGACGCTCGCTTTTGCTGGCAATTATTCTCTGCAAGGTTGATGTCATATTTACATGTAGAAAGCTATTATCAATATCTGCAGATGTTGTGTCATAATTACACAATATGAAGAATTATTTGTAGGCCAGCAGCCAATCAAAACGGAGATTATATAGGAAATGCGTAATATAGTCTAATGAAGTCTAATGACATAACGAATGAAGGATGATAACAGATTTTTGCACGAACTTTTATTGTTTTGATGTATTTTTACTAAGTGTAAAAGATTTTGAAAAAGAATTACGGGGACCACTGCGTGAAAATACGACATCAACCCTGCAGAGAATACTTGCCAACAAAAGGGAGCCATTTTACATGCAGAAAATACAAAGCCATGGCGAGATTTGCTCGGTAACTGAAAAAAGTAGTGGAATACACTAAACGAGCTACAAACTAATTATAAGACAGCATTAAAAGTTTTATAATAAGCCTCCGGCCTTGATAATTTTCGATATCACGCGAAAACCGAATTCAATAATTATTAATTATTCTCGTAATAAATTTTTTAAACTTTAATAAATTTAGTGTCCGCATGTCCGCGTGTCCGCATGTCTGCGTGTCCGCATGTCTGCGTGTCCGCGTTATCCACCAGCCGATCACTTATACCAATAGAAAGAACGAGAGCTTTTATTTTGTTAGGAGTATTAGTAACACGTAGATCGATTTGTGAAGTATTAGTTATTCTGGTCGGTTCAGTAATTGTAAATTTCAATTTAAGGTTAGGCGTAATCTTGCCTGACAACATCGTAGCCTGAAAGGTGAACTGATTTCACTCTTGCTAATAGAAGAATCTAACTTAGTTTTATTAATAGATAAAATATCGATTTTGGAGTTTTCCATAAAGATTTTTAATTCATTAATGTGGCCTATTAAACTGAACAAACTACTATTTATATTCAGACATAGAATTGCGAGACCACGATTGAATAAACTAGAATGAGAACATTCTAAATTAGAAGAACAAGATGCAGGTAAAGAGCTGAATTACCCCCGATCGGCAATTTCCTAACAGGAACCAATATAGCTAGAATTTTTTTTGCTGCAACGAAGTTCCTTAGCGATTAAGGTGCAAGCCTTGTGTATTGAGGCAAAAAAGAATTGAACTGATTTCTGCTAAAAAAAATTCCGATTTATTTTTACAGCATATTGCTTTAATAAAAAATTGATTAGCTTTCATTGCTTTCGACGACAGTTCAAGTTTGTCTGATCTTTGTAAAATACTTGAAATGACAATGCTGGTTCCTGGAGAATCTTCTTTAATTTGGGCTCCAAGGTTTGCAATCTCTTCAGCAACTCTTTTGGCAGCCTGGCAGGTAGATGTATTAAGTCATATAGTTCCCACGCAGGGACGTAACGAATCATTTCGGAAGTTGCGGGGGGAGGGGGTCAGAGGATTTTACCTGAAATTTCACTTCAATGTTAAAAGTGTAATAAGTATAATTTTTACATCAAATGTAAAGAAAATAGTTGCATTTTTGAAGCTCCAGGACTGCATTTCTGGCGTTTTCTAAAGCAGATTTGCAAACGAATTGGATATAAATTGATTGCATTTTACAAATATGGTTATCATTTTACAAAAATAATTTATTACCAAAACTTTATCACCAAATTTTACCTAAAAATATCAACATTTAAACTTGAATTTACCTGATTTTTACCTGAGTATTACAATTGGGGGTGGTTTACCCTCCTCCCTTCCCACACAACCACGTGAACAATTATTTTAGGCTCCTTACAGAAAATCGTACAATTATGTTGTGGTCAAACGTTTTTCGGGAGCTACTATAAGTCTATAACAGATACTATCTGTTATAGTAGCTCCCGAAAAACGTTTGACAACAACATAATTGACAGTATTAGAAAGACACCAACCGTGTAGGTTCTGTACAATTGAATCTCCTGCAACAACGGAGACATTTTTCGCAGAATAATTTGCATTGTCATTGTGTTTTTGGTACTTTATACTACAGAGTGTCTCAAAAAAAAGGCTAGTCTTTGAAATTCAAATTAGTCATATTGTATTGAATTTATAATTACTGCTAATCAATTAGCGATCCGTAAAACAAACGATTTTCTACTTATGGGACCGGTACGGACAACTCAATGAAATACCCTGTACAGTACAGTACAGTACAGTA